GGGCTGGTGAATGAGAGTCCTCACAACTATAGTAAAGCACAGCTGTGTGTGGATGAATCTTTCCAGCAGAATGTTAGATTTTTACTAGTTTCTCTGTAGTTGTACTGCTGTTAGAAAACAACAGTCGTGCATCATGTGACTCAGCGTGCTAAATTTTGATTTTGTTTAATTGCTGTAGCAACCAACGGAAATCAGATGGAGTTGACCTAGAAGCTGCATTCACACCCCAGTCTGTTGAACTGGGACTCAGAGCACTGGGCCTGTGAGACCCAAAGCCAAAATGTCCAGTGTGGATCAGAGTTTTTCTTTTTCTTGGTTTTCAAATTTAGGCCAGGACTAGATTCCAATATAGTGATTAAAAACTGAGGGAAACCTCAGTTTGATGGTAACAAAGTCTCGACACACTTTGCTCCAGAATGAAGAATAGTCTGCCATTCCAAAAAAATCTCTCTCATTTTTCCACTTCCTAGCCAGACAAAACAGAAAAAACAACCTACTCTTGTGAAGTCTCCGACCTGATATTAACATCGAGGTTGAAATATGTTTGGTTTTTGTATGGATAAATAGAAAGTCCCAAATGGGTACTAAAAGTTAAATGAGTGTAGGTTAATACAATGTCTTCAAAGTGAGTGATGAGTATCTTTAAGAGTTTTTAAAGACGGTATTGATCAGCGCTCAATCGATGCATTTTCTTATCATTAAAGTGTAATAAACATAGATTCTCAGTATCATTAGACAAGACAGCTTTATTTATATAGCACATTTCATGGACAGGCGATTGAAAGTGCTTTGCAGAGGCAGAGAAAAAACAATAAGCATTAAAATAGAATAAAATCAGTTAAGACCAAGTAAAACTGTTAAAATGACAACAAATGGATGAAATAAAAGGTCAAGGACAGAAATCTAGCAGTTACAGTGTAGGAAGTCCAGATTAGTCTGACTGGAAATTCCCCTGAATGGTTTTTGTGAACTTTGTACTAAAGTGTAAACCAGCCTTTATGTGTTGCATTAAAACCAAACAAGTAATGTTTGTCTTAGTGTGGCTGACATAGTTTATTTGATGTGCTGTTTTTAGTGAAAGACACCTTGGACCAACTTGTCAAGTGATTTTATTTCATTTCTCATAAATGTTTCTTCACATATGTCCTAGATTAAGTCATGTTGAGTCAGCAAAGAGAGAAACTGTCTTTCCAAGCAGCCTTAGTGGAGCCGACAAAAGTAGATATTTTTATTAACTGATATGATACCAAAGAAAAACGTTATGAAGAGTAACAGTTGTTACTGAATGAAAGGTGCTGCCTGTGAACTCTTCTGTTCAGTGAAGCTTGTGTTGATAGTACATGTCTGTGAGTTCTGCATGTGTCATGTTGTGTTCATACAGCCTTGTGCAATCCCACTGGGCTGTCCATGCTGTGACCCTCAGTGCTCCCTGGGGACAAACACACAGGCATTCTGCTCAGAAAACAGTTCATCAAAAGAGTTGGCCTCAGATGGACCCCGGTTTTTTACAGCTGCTCGCCGAAATGCGATTGTCTTTATTTATTCTGTTCCTCCTTTGGGGGAATGTGGATGTTTCTCTATCACAGAACGGTGAGACAGGCTTCTTTAAATACTGTGTTAAGTGTTAAACTTGAGCTTTGTGACCGTTCATTTGGTTCTTAGTTTAAAGCAAGAGGAGTCGTAAAGAGAAGAGACAGCTAAAGACTTAAACGTAAATGCTTTGAATAGTGGTGTTGCAATATTACATTGAAAAAAAGGAAATACCGGGTTTTTGGATTCACACAAATTATGCTAGTATATGCAACGCAATTCATTTATATTTCCTCTGTTAACATAAAGAAAATTATGTTGGTTTTACACATTATCATTTTGTGGGACCGATGTACACATTACAATCAAGTAAATCCAACAAATCTTTTTTTTCAGTGTACTATTACTATAAGTTTCTCAAAATGTCTTAAACTTTTCCTGCCATATATGCATGTTTTGATATGAGTCTGAAAACTGACATATTTAGAACACAACTGTTGAGAAGCCATATCCAATTTCTTCTTCTTTACTCATGTTGTTGTTTGTTAGCATGTTCACAGCTCCCGGATGTTCCTCACGCCTACGTGTCAGAAGATACCAAAAGAACAGAGTACCCTGAACAACATGTGATACATTTCAAATGTGAAACAGGTTATATATCTGGTCTGAACATCAGATATGTATGTACCAGTGCAGGCTGGAAGCCATCCCAGAAGGGAAGTTGTTACTGTGAGTTACATTCTTCTGTCCCACTCTTTATTTGGTAGGAACTTATAAATTATTTTGCATGATTGTTGTAATGAGGTTGTTGTAAAGATAACTCATTTAGAAGCTGGATTCTTTACATTTTCAAAAGATCCATAACAATATTCAACTTTTGTACGAGGAAAACATGAATAAATGACAAATTGCTTCTAAAGAGAAGTTCCAGAGCAGCACATCATTTGCTGCGTTTCCACTACTGGAACCTAACAAGCGGTATACCCCCTCCTTCCCTTAGCCACCAGCACAACCCCCATGTTTGGTAAATGAATAATTTTGTGCTTTTGTTTCATTGTTTTCAGTAAAGCCATGTGAACTTCCCAGTGACATTTCCAATGGTCATTATCAAATCACCAGAGGTGAAGACTTTGTGTTTGGAACACAGATCACTTACTTTTGTAATGAAGGGTAAGTGGCTCTACAGTGGAAAGTAGACATAGTAGGATTATTTTAGTTGTGTATATGTGAGAAGACAATAAGATGTTTTGACCTGGCACCATATTTTTTCTGACTGCAAGAAGTGCCAAGTGTTCTAATCAAATGTCTTTGTTTCAAAATAGAAAACTTTATTGTAGTGTTCTTACAGGTATTACATGAATAAGGAGGTCAATCGGACCTGTACACTGAATGGTTGGACTGGTCGTGCACCAGAATGTGAATGTAAGTCCTAAAAACAGTAGAGCAGCAATTTTGTTCATGACTGTTAACTGTTAGGCTACACTGCAGTGTTTTTTTTGTTGTTGTTGTTTTTATTTGCACAGATTCTTGTGAATGTTAACATGCAACAACAATTCTTAAAGGTGCATTAACTAAGAATTTACATAGTATCTGATAAATCCAGTGACAGTGGGACAGGATCTGGTGTCTCACAGCTACACTCCCTCCTCCATGACACGCTGCTGGCTACAGCCCTTCTGTTGTTATTCCAGCTTCTCTACCCTGTGTTGTCAAAGTACAGTCTGTAAATTAGCCCCACCTGCCACCTAGCCAAGGTTAGACATTATAACATTAGCGACCTGGCATGGTCATGATTTTACTTTGGTGTTGAATTAATATGATTTTAATTTGGGAGTAACTCGAGCTTTGTGTAACATTAGTGTTTGGTGTCACATTAGCAGTAACCAGAGTGTTGGACTGGATTAACTAATTTACTCATTAGTCAGCTAATGGTAATTTCAGACTCAAGGCGGCATGATGTACAGTTTTTTGTAGCCAGGACTCTGTAGTTTACATT